AGGTGAGGGGCAAGGTTCTGTGGGCTGAGCACTAGGCTGCAAGCTTCCTGTTGGGGTGTGAGAGAGTCTCGGGGTACTGACCTCTGCTCTGTGTCTTGCAGAGAGCCTGCTCACTGTGTCCCCCGGGTTATGACGACCCCCAATAAAGGAAACAAGGCCTTAAAGGTGAGTGGAGAGGCTGGACTTGGGGTGTGATGGGCTGGGCATTCCTACTCTGCTGTGACCTGTGTGCTGTACCACTCCAGGTGAAGCGGGAGCCAGGCGAGAATGGCACCAGCTTGACCGATGAGGAACTGGTAACCATGTCGGTGCGAGAGTTGAACCAGCACCTGCGAGGCCTATCCAAGGAAGAGATTATCCAGCTGAAGCAGCGCCGACGCACACTGAAGAACCGTGGCTACGCAGCCAGCTGTCGGGTGAAGCGGGTGACACAGAAGGAGGAGCTGGAGAAACAGAAGGCGGAGCTACAGCAGGAGGTGGAGAAGCTGGCCTCAGAAAATGCCAGCATGAAGCTGGAGCTTGATGCGCTGCGCTCCAAGTATGAGGCCCTGCAGAACTTTGCCAGGACCGTGGCCCGTAGCCCTGTGGCCCCAGCTCGGGGTCCCCTTGCTGCTGGCCTGGGGCCCCTGGTCCCTGGTAAGGTGGCTGCCACCAGCGTCATCACAATAGTAAAGTCCAAGACGGATGCTCGGTCATAGGGACACGTGCAGTTGCCAGGCAGGTCTTTGAGGGGCCACTAGGTATGTGGCAAAGTTGGCAGCCCCGTCCCTGTCCCTCCTCCTTTCTTTTCCCTTTCTCCTCTCCCTTCCCTCTTTCCTTCCCTGCAAAGCACAACCTGCACCCAGGGGCACGGGCTGAGCCCCTTGATCATCTTTGTTGTCACGCCTGTGTTTTGTACGTTGGGATTGGCCAGTTCAACAGTGATGTTGGGTTGCCCCTAACCCCTTTGTACCAAGGCCATGCAGGCTAGGAGTCCAGAGTGGGCACTGTGGGGATGGACGAGCGTGCACGTGGGAAGTGTACTGGGCTTGGGTCTGCCCTTGTCTCCCTGGTGGTCTGCAGTGGGACTTGAGCGCTTTCTTTTCAGATGTCCAGTGGGCCTCTCAGCTTGATCCAGAAGGAAGAGATGGGCTCTGCCCTGAGAAGCAGTTATGTGTTGAAGCCCCTGGATGGGTAGGCCACCAGCCTGGGCACTGGGGCAGGAACCATGGTGCTGGAGCCTGGCACAGTGACCGGACAAGACCAAATCGCTGGTTCTGAGTGTGGGTGGAAGGTGTGTCAGTGTCCTGCGATGGGTCCGGTGTCGCTGTTTACATGACCTGTTTGTGTGGTTAGATAGCCCTTTATTTAAAAGAGAAGTTCCTTTTACGGAGTTATTAAATTATATGTTTAAGAGCTAAAAAGAAAAAAAAAGCTGCAGAGTATTTATAAAATTGTCTTAAAAAACAAAAACAAAAAAAAAATTTGACCGTATAAATGGAAAAGGGAAGAAAGTATAGTAGAAACTTTGTTAGTTTAAAAAAAAATCCCTTTCTTGTAAACCTGGGGACAGCTCTGTGGCTGTTGGAGTTTAGTTTTTATACACAGAGTTATCAGACATTACTTATAAAACTTAGTTTAAAAAAAAAAAAGAAAAAGAAAAAAGAAAAAAAAAAGCCAAGCTGCAAGCCTACCAGAGGCTGCCCTCTTTGATATCTCTTTTGCAACTGTACCGAAAGTGACTTACTCCTTTGCCCTTCCTGCTTCCGTCTTGCCGGTGCCGTGGTGTTGTCCGTGCCTGGTGAGGTTTTGTGCAGCCGTAAAGTGCTGGTGCTTCTGGTGACCTTTGACCTGTGGCTGTCCCTGTGTTTTGTGTGTATGTATGTGTGTTTGTTTGTTTTCTTTTTTGGATTTTTGTGTGGTTTTGCTTCTGCTGGCTTGCTGGACCCAGGCAGAAGTGCTCCGCTGGAGTATAGGAGACTGCCGCGGGCTCGCATCCCTCTGCGCTCGTTCATTCCTCGGTCACGTGGTCCCTCCGAGCCTTGGCTTGGCATTGTGGGTCTAAGGCAGTGGCAGAGTGAGTGAAGTCGGGAGCTCTCGGCCCATGCTGCTTCCACATCCACCACCTCTGGCCCTGGGTGGTGACATTGCAGGGACCAAGGTGTCACTGTGGGTGCCCACAGGGCTGTGGCCTACCTGTCCTTGGCCGTCTTCCTTCTGGCCTCAGCTTAGTTGCTATAGGCTTCACTAGGGCCTCAGCTAGACCGCCCCGGGGGGCCTACCTTGTGGGTTGGGAGTCCTGTCACTCACGTGTTTCTGAAACCCTGTTCTGTGGGGTCCCCACTGGGAGCAACTCATTCTTCCCTGTCTCACTGTGAGAGCCTGGGGGCCTCCACCATTGCCAGACAAGGGCTTTGGCCCTAGGGCCAGGTCTGTTCTTCCCCAGTGTCTGCAGCTCTTGGCTCTGGGCCCTTATTTTGCCTCCTTCAGGATCTGCGTCTTCCAGGGATCCGCTGTTCGACTTGGAGGTGCTTCTCTGCAGGTTTCAAGCCTGTCACCTCACCCCAGCTTTCCAGTGGAGGCTGCCCACCTTCCAGGCTTGGCTCAGGAAGCTCCTCATAGGCGGATACCCACCTGCAAGAGGCTATATCCCTGTGTGGTCACATGGCTTGTGGCCTCCTGCTGACATTGCTGGTGTCTTCTCTGGGGCCCTGGATCCCTGAAAAGCACAGAAATGTGGTCTGGGGAAAGGGAAGACTGGCCTGATAGGCCTTTACCTCGCAGGCAGCAGGGTTTTCACTCAGTTTGACACAGCATGCAGTGCGCCCTGGCGTGTGGTGGGCTGCTTTGGCCCAAGGTGCTCCGACACTCCCGCTGATGCCTGAGTCAGACATGAGTGGAAATCTGGACTGTCGAGTACAAGTTACAGGTGACCTCATCCCCTCCCTTTGGTTCTCTAACTGATATCCAGATGAGCTGTCGATGCCGACTGTGGCAGCTGAGCTGGCGTGGATTATACCCATGCCTAAAGGAGGAGAGGGGCAAGCTTTCTGAGTTCTTTGGTACTGGCTTGGCTGTTGTGCGTAGCTGAGGATGGTCCTCTGTGCATGTAGGTCCAGCTTGGCGGGAGGATGAGGAATAGGAGGCTGAGGCTGGATATGTGCTAAACAGGAGTGCTAGATCCTTGCTTCTGAACAGGATAGAGCCATGCGCAAGGCTTTCAGGTTTGCAGCATCTGCTTCTTGAGTCTGGGGACTTTCCCTGTTGAGCCAGCCCTGCAGCTCCACTCCTTGTCCTTTCCCCTTGGTTTCCTGACAGTAAATCCTGTGTCCAGTTGTGACTGTTGCTGTTTTTCTGATCATTGTTAATTCCGTTTTCCTACTGTGAGGGTGTTGTGTTTGACTTTCTGACACAGCGAATGGAGAGCTTGGGCTGAGGCCGGGTCTCCCAAACGTCTCCGCTAAGTAAACCATAATGTGTGACTTCCCTCCTATCTTGACTTTGCCTGACTCCTTCCTTGGACATGGACACTCAGATATCAAAGAAAATCCCCAGGAGATAGATCTTCTGTAGAGTATAGTCCCAGAGAGTCCCCCTCTCCGTTGTGTCTAGCTGCTGATCTGGGTGTTGTACCATCAGTGCAGGGATTCCCTGGCAACACTGAGTGAGTTATACAGGAATCACTACCATCACCAGGCTTCCCAACAGGCTGTTCTCAGTTAATCTTTCAGGTCTGTGTGTACTGTGTTAGCAGCAGCCTTGGTGTTCAGGGCCAGTGTTTGCAGTTTTGATAAGCTACAGCCCACGTGGAGATGGTGAGGCCACTTCCCTGCTACCTCCCTCTCTGGTGTGGCCACTTGGCCAAAGCTCCCATCCACAGCTGGGATGTCTGAGCCACAGCCTGCTACACTGTTTCCGCTCTGGGATCTTCTGAGTTACTTTTTTAGGCTGTGGTTTGGTGAAAGGAACCAACACATTAACGATCACCCCCTTCCCCCTCCCAGAAGCCACTGAATAATTCTTGGCATGCCTTCTCAGTGCCATTGGCTGCCTGGTTTGGGAGCAGTTATGGAGAAGAGGACAGAATCAGTACCACACAATCATGGATGTGCCAGAGCTGCTCACAGCTTGCCTGTTTCTGGCGTGTGTCCTGGGTGTGTGCTATACCTGCTGGGCCAGCTGCACACATGGACCCTGCCCCTGGAGCATTAATAGCTCGGGTGTCTCTGGAAGTCTGAGGTAGAGTGTTCTAGGAAGTGTCCCCATAGAATTCCCTGTTCTCTATGGCCCCAGTTGGGCTTTTGTCCCCTCCAGCAACTTTATGCCCCAACCGCACCTTTCCTCCCATTCTCTCTGTCTGCTAGTTTCTGAAGCCTTTAACCAAATGGGAATGGTACAGAAAGCCTTCTCCTGGCAACTTAGGGCAACAGGACAAGGGCTATTGCGTGTCCAGCTCTGTTGGTCTCCTGGTGCTGAGAGGTGTGTCCAAGCAGAGTTGATCAGCCCCTGCCTGCCCTGCAGGGCTGAAGCCAGGGGGAGGTGAGAGAGTACCCTAAGTGGGGTGAGGATCCTTAAACATCCAAGTGAGGAGGGGCTGTTGTGTGGCTACAAGGTGAGACCCTGTCTCCTGCACCTGGGTAGGGCCATCGGGGATCTGGCTGCAAGGTGAGGCTTGGACTTCCCATCAGTGGAGAGCGATCAGTCACCTGGCCTCAGCAGGCAGCAGCCTTGGTGCCCACCCGTGCCCTGCGCAGTATTTATTGCTAAATTATTGTCCAGGAGGGGCGGCACGGGGCCTGGCCCCCCGGGTATTTATTGCTGTACATAGTGTATGTTTGTGATATATAAGGTTTTCTTTATTTTGTATATGATCAATAAACGCCTTTTAAAGAGATCTGGTGGTGTTTCTTTGAAACCCGAGGGAGCAAGAGAGAGACCGGGATGGGAAGGGCGAGCCGGAAGGGGTGGGAAGGGCCGGGCGCGCGCATGCGTCTCTGTAGCTGCCGGATGAGGCGGAAGCGGAAGCCGGAAGCGCAGTCAAAGGAGCGATGGCAGCCGGTGGCGGTCTGAGTCGCTCGGAGCGCAAAGCGGCTGAGCGGGTCCGGAGGCTGCGAGAGGAGCAGCAGCGGGAGCGCCTCCGCCAGGTAAGCCACTGCCGTGCCCGCGCTCGCGCCGGCGCGCGCGGTCGCTCACCTACCGCTCGTCCTTAGGTGTCACGCATCCTGCGGAAGGCGGCTGCAGAGCGCAGCGCGGAGGAGGGCCGGCTCCTGGCCGAGAGCGAGGATCTGGTGACCGAGCTGCAGGGTCGGAGCCGGCGGCGTGAGGGCCTGAAGCGCCGCCAAGAGGAGGCGAGTCGGGGGCAGCGGGTGTTGAGCTGTAGGCTGCAGGCTGCGAGCTGCAGCCGGAATAACCAGCTCTGGTTCCTGTCAGGTGTGTGATGACCCAGAGGAGTTGCGGAGGAAGGTCCGCGAACTGGCTGGAGCTGTCCGAAGTGCCAGACACTTGGTTGTCTATACAGGCGCTGGGATCAGCACGGTAAGCGAGGGACTGCGCGTTGCTCCAGGTGTGGGGCGCCCCCTTCTGGGACACAAACTTGGGCTGTACAGTTGCTGGAGTTCAAATGCTCGCTCGCCTTTGAAGTAACTTCAAGGTGTCCTTTCTCGGAGACCTGAAGCAATTCTAAATTTAAGATTTAACTAAGGCGAAGTGACAATGGTGGCACATGCCTTTAACTTCAGCACTTTGGAGACAGGAAGATCTTTGTAAGTTCAAGACCAGCCTGATCTGCATAGGGAGTTCCAGGTCAGCCAGGGCTAAAGAATAAGTCAATAAATAAATAATAATTTAGCTAAGTCAAAGAGTTTTAGAATGCTTAATTTATGATAGCCAATCAAACACGAAACAGTAGCAGGGCATAGTAACCAACTGACTGCTAATGCCTTCTCCTTTAAAGTGGAGACAGACCGATTCATCCACATGATGTGGACAAACTGGAGCCCTAGACTTTCTCCTCAGCCTGTACTCCTTGAAGAAAGATAAATGGAAAACCAGTGTCGAGCCCAAATCTCTAATCTAGGGACTCAGGAGGTAGAGCAGGAAGATCAGCATCAAGATCTTGAGACCAGCCTGGTTCAAAACTTGATGCAAGACTCTGCCTCAAAAAAATAAAAAAATAAAAAATAAAACCCCAAAAAACAGACAGAGTCACGTCACAGTACAACAGGTACATTCGAGAAATGCTGCACTCTTGACTCTGAGAACCTTCCTGGGCTGAGGGATGACTAGCTTTGAACATGTGACTGACTTCTCTGTATGATCTTGTGAGAGTGTGGAGTATTTGACCCAGGTGAACTCAGATGGTTTCAATTCTGAAGAAGCCCTAGGGTGGTCTGCAGAGACGGCTCAGTGGGTAGCGTGCTTGCTATGCAAGCATGAGAGCCTGCATTTGGACTCTCAGAATCCATATGAAGAAGCTAAGCAGTGCCACACTCCTGTAACCCCAGAACTGGGAAGACAAGCTGAGAGAGAGGACCCCCTGATCCTGCTGCCTAGGCAGCCTAACCAAATCCATGAGCTCCAGGTGCAGTGAGAGACTTATCAACAACGACAACAGAAAAGTGGGGGAGGTAGTGAGATGGCTCACTGAGTAATTAGGCACTTGCTCCCAACCTCAGAGCCCATGCGATAGAAGAGAACTGACCAATACAAGGGGCCTTCTGACTTTTACATGTGCATCATGACACTTGCACATCCCTGTCCACAAATGTGTTGAGAGAAAAAAAAATAAGGTGTACGTTGAGATTCACGCACCAACACGTGCAACACCTGTGTCTACTACATGCATGTGCACAAATGCCAACACCCATGCGGGCATACACACAGACAAAAGAAGACCTTTGTTACAAAGGTAGCAGCCAGCAGTCATAAGCACACAGGTACAGTGCAATGACAGGGTCAGACCTAAAGTCCTTAGAGCTGGGAAAGCCCTTGGTGTCCTTGCTGCCGGAGTGGCGTCGTAGGGCTCTGCAAGGAAATGTGAGGGCAGGAAGTGTGACAGACAGCAATGGCCCAGGAGCAAATAAAGAGCATTCGCTATTCCAACTCAGACGTCAGACATAAGCATTTGGGGCCTAGCCCCTCATAGCTGTGTGGTGACCCAGTTACGACTTTATAACAGTGACTCTACAAACCTGGTGGCAGCTAAATACCACTTGCAGCTCATAAATATGACCTAAGCACCATTTGAGGTTCCTTCTTCGGTGTATTGGAATTCCTTGCCAGGTGGTAGGTACTTCTTTGAACTTAAGCAGCAGTGTATACAGGAATTTCCCAGCTAGGATCCAAAGACTCCCGGCTCCTAGATGGTGTTTGTTTGTTTGTTTCTCGTGGAAAATTACTTAACATCTACATCTATAGAGGTTTTAGGTTAAGTTGGACTAAAACACTCAGAGCTGCAGAGTATAAGTATGTGGACAGAGAACTTCCTCCTGGGGCTCATTATTTGCCAAACATGACCTCAACTCTAAAACCCGCTCCTCCGGACACTGATGAGCCTAACTAATTCTCCTCTTCAGTGTTCAAGACAGTTGTGGACACAGCTGCTCACTGCTAGGAAGGACCCTCAGTTAGGGTAGAGTTCTCCAGTATGCGAAAGGGTGAGATGGCCCAGACAGGACAAGACAGTCATTTGGATGGAGGAAAAGAGCCATACTGGGGTACATCCCACTTGGAGATCAGACAGGTCAGCAGACGATGGAACAGAATCAAATTTATAGGCATGCCCTCTATGGGGTATTCTTTTTGTCCACATGTGCAGGCAGCTTCTATCCCAGATTACCGGGGTCCTAATGGAGTATGGACACTGCTTCAGAAAGGAAGACCTGTGAGGTGAGCATGCCACAGCTTTCTTCCACGGTTAGGGACGAGCTGCACCTGCCTGGCAGCCCCTCACCTCTGCCCTCTCAAATCCTACAGTGCTGCTGACCTAAGCGAAGCGGAGCCTACCCTCACCCACATGAGCATCACCCGTTTACACGAGCAAAAGCTGGTAAGAAAGCCAGCATGGCGGCCTGCGGCGGGGGTGGCACACATCTTCACTTCCAGTGCTTGGGAGGCAGAGGCTTGGTCAAGGACAGCCTGGTCAAGAGTGAGTTCCAGGACAGCCAGGGCTACACAGAGAAATTCTGTCTTGGAAAAAAACAAAACAAAAAACTGGAAAGAGGGCTGGAGAGATGGCTCGTTGGTTAAGAGCATTGACTGCTCTTCCAGAGGTCCTGAGTTCAAATCCCAGCAACCACATGGTGGCTCACAACCATCTGTAATGAGATCTGATGCCCTCTTCTGGTGTGTCTGAAGACAGCTACAGTGTATTCATAATAAATAAATAAATAAATCTTAAAAAAAAAAAAAAAAAAAACTGGAAAGAACCCAGAGCTGTACTTTGGGGCCCAGACGGGAATCCATTCCACCTCTTAGTCAACCCTGTGATAAACAGTCCAGCGCTCAGACTCCTGTTTGCTCCCCGCTCTGCTTTCTTCTCTCCAAGAAGAGTAGCTCCTGTCCTCAGCCATTAGCGTTCAGCTTCCCATTCAGAGTCTTTAGAGAACAGCCTAGCTTCAGAGGAGGCTTGTCAGAAACCTCCAGAGATCTGCTGAGCAAGCCTAGGCTCTGGGGGGGCTGGGGGAGGGGGCGACTTGAAAGAGGATGACCCAAGAAGTTACTGATCCAAGGTAGGTATATAGTCCTGCCCTCCCCTGTGTGACCAGTGCCCCAAACTGCTCCTCGGCTTGCAAGAACAGTACAGATGCTCACCTTCTTAGCTGCTTCCAGTATATCAGAGGAGAACATGGCACCCTCCTACCTCGGGACCTCCTGGGTTGCGGTTGCTTCTTGTTTTGGGAACCTTGTCCCTTGGGCAGACTAGGTTCAGAATAATTCCACTGCCGCAGTGCGCTTCCCCCTTCCCTTACTTACCTACACCATCTTCTGTCTTCCAGGTGCAACATGTGGTGTCTCAGAACTGCGACGGGCTCCACCTGCGGAGTGGGTTGCCGCGGACCGCCATCTCGGAGCTCCATGGGAATATGTATATTGAAGTGAGCAGTACCCAGAGGGACCTGGGGCCTGGGCGACAGGCAGATGTCACTCACTGCGCCCTCTCCTCCTCAGGTCTGCACCTCCTGCATCCCCAACAGAGAGTACGTACGAGTGTTTGACGTGACCGAGCGTACCGCCCTCCACCGACACCTGACAGGCCGGACCTGCCATAAGTGTGGGACTCAGCTCCGGGATACCATTGTGCACTTTGGGGAGAGGGGGACGTTAGGGCAGCCTCTGAACTGGGAGGCAGCGACTGAGGCTGCTAGCAAAGCAGACACAATCCTGTGTTTAGGGTCCAGCTTGAAGGTATGTGCTGACAATACCATGCCACTCACTGTGGATTGAGCATGTTACCGGCCTGCCTCCCCAGGGCTATCAGCCCCAGGGCAGCAGGTTTTTCGTCTCAGTCATCCTCTGCTGTCTTGTGTTTGTCCACTTGAACAGGTACTAAAGAAATATCCCCGCCTCTGGTGTATGACGAAGCCTCCAAGCCGTCGCCCCAAACTCTACATTGTGAACTTGCAGGTAACCATGGGTGTGTAGAGCTTCCTCCTCAGACCTGGGCCTCAGATGGGAGGAGACAGGGAGATGTGCCACTTGTACATCCTGAAAGTCCTGTACAGGCTCAAGGGTGTTCCCGGGGAATGGGGGGACCCAATCTGCAGGGGACAAGCAAAGGGGAGGAAGTCGGCTCTCATCTGCCTCTCTTGTCTTCAGTGGACCCCGAAGGATGACTGGGCTGCCCTGAAGCTTCATGGGAGATGTGATGATGTAATGCAGCTCCTCATGGATGAACTGGGCCTGGAGATCCCTGTCTACAGTCGGTGAGTGGGTGCAGCATGACCCCATTCCTGCCCCTCTGTGTGACAGGCCGTGTCTGTCTCCTATAAGCATCAGAGGGACTGGCCAAGGCTCTACCGTGTACATGTGCACACCCTCCCGCCCTGACTCTCTGAGGAGAGGAGGGGTCTGCCAGCGTGCTCTACAGGATGCTCCCCACAGATGGTTTGCAGCCTGGGTGGACAGCCGTGAGGGGTGACGACTGTGCAACGCTGGTCAGACAGAATCTGTGTCCTTGGTCTGGGGATATTTGGGGAAAATGTAAGCAAACTGACTTGATACAGAATTGTGATAATTTAGACTTGGCGTGTATATTGAGTGAAAAGTTTACACTTTCTTTCTCTGTGAATTTTCAGGGTCTTATAGGGGAAATCAATAACTTCTTTTAATCAAAGGGTTCAAGAAATTAAGGATCCCTTCACCTCTGGGCCTGGCAATTCTTGTATGTTATGTTTGTGGTGTTTTGTGACGTGGGCCTCTCCTGTACTGCATTGTTAGTGTTGTTGTTGGTTGTTTCCTTTTTTTTTTTTTCAAACATTAACTTAGCTCATTTTTTTAATCAGTGCTTATTTGTATCTTACGTTTATGATATGTGGTTCTACATTTCAATCAGACACATGATTTCTTCATGGTGTAGTCTGTAGGCCACACCTCCCTAGTCAACTGGCCTCTTCCCCCCATCCCTGTCATGCAGTCTGGGAAGAGGAAAAGGGTCTGGTCCACCTGCCCCCATCCATACAAGTGAAAGGTGGGGCCCAGAGTTGCTAGCAAGTTATCCTTGGAGACGGAGCCATCCTGTGGCTAGCACGACCCCTTCCTCTGTGTGCAGAGCCCACTGACAGCGGGTGAGACACAGAAGAGGCTGCTGCTGGCCTTTGATTGCCGCCCAGGAAGGTTTTCCCTCGCAGCTCTTCTGTGGCTTGGTGACACTGAAGCTGCTTCTAGCCAGAGCCCAGCCAGATTGAGACAAAGGGGAAGGGGTGGGCTGACAGGCGGCCTCAGACAGCTTTCCCATGCCTGGGAGGTGTTGTGATTTGAGGGGTTTTCAGAGCTACCTGATACTGCTTTTCTTTCTGTTAGGTGGCAGGACCCAATCTTCTCCTTGGCAACTCCCCTCCGTGCTGGTGAAGAAGGCAGCCACAGTCGGAAGTCCCTGTGCAGAAGCAGAGAAGAGGCCCCCCCTGGGGACCAGAGCGCCCCACTTGCCTCCGCTCCCCCCATCCTAGGAGGCTGGTTTGGCAGGGGCTGTGCCAAGCGAGCAAAAAGGAAGAAAGCAGCATAGCCCGGTGTTGACAGAGAACAGTTGGGACTTTGCAGATGGCTTGACCCTTGTTCAGGGGCCCAGGTCACCGTGAAGGCGGGAGTGCCCCCACCGGATCTAGTGGAAGGAACTTTGGGGGGTGGTGACACTTCGCGGTGACAGTCGTTTTTTAGCCATTTGTCCTTGTGGAAAGCCTCTCTTGCACTGCTGTGATGCCCCACTACGGGCTTGATCTTCAAGGACACCTCCCTCCTATTCACCCTTGTACAAAGGTGGCAGCAAGGCCTTGGGGAGAGGAGCTCCAGTCTTTCCCAGGTCTGGCCAGCAGAAGAGTCCACCACTGCCTTACCTCACTCTCCAGGCTAGTCTCAGGGCCTCCCTCTTTCTACTACTTATTACTGAAAAGTGTTCACTTTCTAGAAACCTTTTTCTGTATTGGGTATGCGGCACAGGGAGGATCTAAGCCTCCAGTCTGAGCAAGTCTTATTAAACATCTCTCTATTGCTTTGGTGTCCCGTTGACTATCACACGCACCTGAGGGCCAACATCGAGGTGCTTTTGAAGAACCCAGTCCGTAGGAATGCTCAAGGCGCGGCAAGCCGCAAGCGCACTTGTGGTACTAACCTGCCCAGTTCGCCAGAGGAGAAGTCAGATGCAAAGTCCGGGCCACCTCCAACACAGACCATTGGCCGCTCAAGTTGGGTGGAGGGGTGTGGCCCGGTTAGGGGCGGGGCCCCGGGTAGCGCACGCCATTGGCTGCGCCAAGCGGGTGAGACCCGCGTGAGCACGCGCAAGCGTCGAGGGCGGGGCAACGGTGCTGTGTGTCGCGGGAGCTGGCAGGACTTGCGGGGGGCCTCTGGTGCCATGATCCGGAACGGGCACGGGGCTGCCGGCGCTGCTGGGCTGAAGGGTCCGGCGAGCCAGCGCACCGTGCGGGTGTGGTGCGACGGCTGGTGAGTGGGGCGGCGAGGGACGGGCGGTCGCCTCGGCGTCACGCACCGGCCGTTGGCGGATCCTGAGTCTTCTGAGGCCGCACGAGGCAACCTGGCCTCCGGTCACTTAGAAGTGTAGCGTGCAGACACGGGTGCATCGGGCGGTGCACTTCCCAAAAACCGGAAATGCGGCTGTCTGTTCGCCTTAGGCATTTACCCAGGTTACCAGGGCTGGAAGGCCATGAGCTTCTCTGGCAACTCAGCCCGTGACGTCTCTTTAAGAAAGTCCTGGAGCTGTCAACAAGCCGAAGAGACGTTGTTGGCCTTTCTATAACTTAACCATCCTCAGCCCTTCGTCGTGCCTACCCCTGGTGGATGAGAAGGGCTGCAGAATGGTCACCAGGGCTATTCGGAGCGGATTAAGCTAGACTTTGTGCGTTTCTTGTTTGGTTTTGGTGCTGAGGATGAGATCCATAACCTTGTAGGCTATGTACAGGCAAGTGCACCATCACTGAATTTTAACTTCAGCCCCCTAATGTTCTCTTGCACCTGAGTCACCAGCAATGGCTTTGACTTCGTGTCAGCGGACTATGACCTTGGCCCCACCACAATCCTGGGCCCAGTGCCACCATCCCAGAAGCAGACTCTGACCTCTGATCCTGCCCTGCCCGTCTAGTGGGCACCAGGGCTGTCCCAGAATTTACTGGTTATCACTGTCCCACCTCCCACCCCGTGCACTGTGGTGTTCACCTGATGATAACCCACTAGGGTTCTAGAGGAAGCACAGCAGAGCCTGTGGCCCAGCACTGGCCCATGGTGAACAATACAGGTGGTCCCGGTACACACTGGGACACCCTCAGTGCCCAGCATGTTGCTGGCTTCTGTATAGCTTGACCTTGATAAAATACTTGTGGCCAGACCTAGATTTGAGGATAAAAGCTCAGTGCCAGGTGACAGGCATTTGTTCCCTCAGAGAGCTAAGCCAGGCCACGGGGGTGGGAAACTGTAGGCTTGTCTCAGGGTAGAACAGAGTTTGCTCCCAACTCAGGACTGCTCACTTGTTTCAGAGCTCGAGTGCAGCTTGTTGATCAAGGGGTACTGTTCTTGTTTAGGGTGCAGAAGTTTCCATGTTCAGATCCTGAACAAACTTTTGTATCTTGCGGGCTAGGGATGTAGCTCAGACTGGGCTACATGAGACCTTATTGTCTAAAGAAAAAAAAAAGAAAGAAAGAAAAAAGCACAGAAGCATCAGGAGGCACCAAGAGGGCAGAGACAGCCTAAGACATGAGAAATGGCTAAACGTCTGTCAGTGAACAGCTGTCTTGGGAGCTCACCAGCCAGGCCTTGCACCTGAATTTGCCACTCTTGTTAGACCTGGCACTGACTGAGTCCTGCCCTAGGTCCAGTACCTAAGGTATGGGCAACTGAGAACTGACTTCCCTCTGTAAGCCCAACCCTCTGGGATCTGGCCTGGGAGCCCTGGTGTAGCTTCTCAAGGAGCAAAGCTGTACCCCACACAAATCTCCCAGTTTCCTGTCATATCAGTACAGGACCTGACTGCCCTGTCTGTCCTCACAGCTATGACATGGTGCATTATGGTCACTCCAACCAGCTACGCCAGGCACGGGCCATGGGAGACTACCTCATCGTGGGTGTCCACACTGACGGTAAGGTGTGGGCCACTGTGGCTGAGACTCAGGCCAACCGATCAAGCCTGCAGGGCGCGGGGAGAGGAGGTAGGGTGGGGTGGGGTACGGGGTGGGCAGGATGATTCCTGTAACGCAGGCTGGTCCCAGCTATAGACAGCTGTGGCAACACTGGACAGTCTCCTCAGCTGTATTGTCTGCCCCCATCCTGGCTCTCGAAACAGAAGAGGCTAATCCCTCTTCCTAGTTACAGGCCTTCCTTGTTAACCAGCAGATCCTGAGCACATGTGCTAGCCAGGGGACAATGCTATTGGCACAGGGACCTGCCTTGCGGACTGATGCCAGATTACCACTGCATACCATTGCACACTTTATAGCCTTGAGATCCAGGCTCCTGAAGACTCGGATGTCACTTATTCTGTTTCGTCCTCTGCTCTGTCCCTAGAGGAGATTGCCAAGCATAAGGGGCCCCCGGTGTTCACCCAGGAGGAGAGGTACAAGATGGTACAGGCCATCAAGTGGGTGGATGAAGTGGTGCCCGCCGCTCCCTACGTCACTACACTGGAGACACTGGACAAGCACAACTGTGACTTCTGTGTTCACGGCAGTGAGTGGGCAGGGCCTGGAGATGGGGGCTGGGCAGTCAGACCTGTTGACAAGTCAGAGAGACAGGGGGCCTCTCATCCCATCTCATCCAACGCACACACCAGAAACCTCTGCAACCATCCCCCAGGGCAATGGCAAAGTGAAAGGGTGCGCTGGGGATGGAGAGTTCTGGTCCCTGGAGGCTCTGAGTTAAGAATCTCTGTTTATGAGCCTAGTCTGCTGGCACCTAACTATCGTCTCAGCATCAGTACTGAGGAGGCTGATAGAGGGATATTAAGCGTTCCAGATCAGCCGGGCAGTGGCGGCGCACGCCTTTAATCCCAGCGTTTGGGAGGCAGAGGCAGAAAGATCTCTGAGTTCAAGGCCGTCCTGATTTATAAAGCAAGTTCCAGGACAGCCAGGATTATTATCCAGGGTGTGTTATGCAGCCTTATCCCAAAAAGAGTTCCAGATCACCCTGGGCTACACAGCAAGACATGCACCGCCCCCTCTTAGAATAACAACAAAACAGAAATCCCTTTCTGTGTGCATGTCGCTTCCAGATGACATCACGCTGACAGTAGATGGCCGAGATACCTATGAGGAAGTGAAGCAAGCCGGGAGGTACAGGTAGGTCCAGGGAGTGGGGCTCAGGAGGAGACCCCTTCCTAGTTCTCATCGCTGTGTTGACATACCCCGCAAGGCATTTGGGCCCCGGTCAGGTGTGGAAAGTGCAGGACAGAATGCTTTGTGTGGCCAGCCTCGGGGCTTCTGCACAGCACTCCCAGACAGAGCTCTGCAGGAATGGCCGCATTCTCCATCTGCGCTGTTTGTAGGGCATCCGTAGACTCGGTGGTGTCTCCCGTGCCTCTGGAGAGCCAGCTTTTTACTTTAATTAACTGTAATTTAAAGAGCCAGCTGTAGCCAGCGGTTCCTGCAGGGACAGAGCAGCCAGGAATTCCCTTGTCAGAGAATACACAGCAGGGTTTGGGCCTCGGTGCAGTAGAGGCCAGAGGGAACGGTGTCGGAATGGGGACCAGAGAAGTTGTGTCCTAAATGTGGCTCGCCTACTCCCTGGAGTTAAGTGGTACAGCTGAGTGATCCCTCCGCTTCTGTCACCAGTATGAGCCCATTACTCCTGCCCCAGTCTGGTTTTCTATCGTGGGTGGCGCTGGGTTAGGGTCGTGTCCCTCAGGTGGCTTCTGCCTGTAGCAGAGCCTCAGGAGTGTATGCTGGATGAAAACCTCCACCTTACCTCTGTCCCAGAGAGTGCAAACGCACCCAGGGTGTGTCCACCACAGACCTCGTGGGTCGCATGCTGCTGGTGACCAAGGCCCACCATAGCAGCCAGGTGAGTCCAAAGGGATGGGGTCTGGGAGCTAAGGATGGGGTCCCTGGGCTAAGGACACAGCCAGGAGGGAGGGGCACCTCCTAGCCACCCTTGGGTTTATCCTGTTTCTCTCCCCAACCATCCCCTTAGTGGGCTCTGGGGCCATGGCGTGCTGGTCCAGGGTTGGCAGTCAAGAGGGCAAGGTCCCTTAGTCTCTTGCCCTTGTGTGCAGGAGATGTCCTCTGAGTACCGGGAATATGCTGACAGTTTTGGCAAGGTGAGTACACCTGGCTTGCTGAGGCCACTCTGGAAATACAGCTGACATTCCTGCCCAGCCCCACCCCCCCTTAGGCTTCCCATGGGGAAAGGTTGGCCCAGAACTTCAGTGTCTGCCCTCCTCCCTCTCTTTCCCAGTGCTGACCAGGTACTGACCATCAGGCTTGGCCAGCTTCTGGATGCTGGGAGGGAGGACAGGCAAGAGGTGGCCAGTCCCAGCAGCCACTTCTTGGAGGAGGAGCAAGGACTGCCCACCTACAGGTGGCATCTAACCAAATGGCCTGGCCCTCTCTCCCTTTGTAGCCCCCTCACCCGACACCTGCCGGGGACACACTTTCCTCAGAAGTCTCCTCCCAGGTGACCAGATGGTGGCCTCAGGGTGCCGGGTCCCTCAGAGGGCTGTGTCTACTGGCCACTGGGCTCTTTCTGCGCCTGCTCCTGGTGGTGTGTTGCTAGGCAGAGCTGGTGTTGTCTGCAGTATCTTCTGTGGCCACCGGGTGGAGCCACAGTCCTGCTAGCTACAGTGGTCCTGCGTGGCCTTACCATGGTGTGTCCCTGCCCCTACCCCAAGTGCCTGCCTGACACAGCCCCCAGCTGTGCTGCTGGGTTATTCGCAGGCTGGGGTTGGTGGGGGAGTCCAGCCTGTACTGCTCTTTGTATATCTCCCATCACCCACACTTACAATAGGGGCACAGGGAGCCCTGGGCTCAGAAGAATGACCAAGGGGAGGGTGCTGGGTGAGGGACACACATAGAGGCCTCTACCACTGACTGGTTCCTTCTCTCGACTAACAGTGCCCTGGTGGGCAGAGCCCCTGGACAGGGGTGTCCCAGTTTCTACAGACATCCCAGAAGATCATCCAGTTTGCTTCTGGGAAGGAGCCCCAGCCGGGGGAGACAGTCATCTATGTGGCTGGTGCCTTTGACCTGTTCCGTATCCTCCTAGAGCCTCTGCTGCCCCGAAGTCATGCCACAGAGAGGGACCCATAGACTCTAAGGCTCCAGGGTTGAGCTGGGTTGTAGTGGGTACAGCCTTCATCAGGGAGCATGGCAAGGAGTCCGCTGGGTACTGGCTGTTGGGGACCTACCTTACTAGCCCATTACTGCTACCTTAGTTGTTTTCTTCTTCGATCATGGGGTTGGGGATGGAACACGGGGCTCAGTGTACCTGAGGCAAGTGATCTCCTGTTGAGCTACAACCCCCCTCTTCCCCCAAGTCTTGCTCTCTTGAGACAGAATTTTCCTCTGTAGTCCAGGCTGACCTAGAACTTGCAGTACTCCTGCCTCCGCCATGCAAATGCTGGGTTTACAAGAGAACACCATCATACACAGCTAGTTACTGCTTCTTAATCTGGATGTAGACATCGGGCACGTGGACTTCCTACAGGAGGTGCACAAGCTAGCCAAGAGGCCCTACGTCATCGCCGGCCTACACTTTGACCAGGTCTCTGCCCTCCTCCTTGCTTGCTTCTCAGCACCCCATCAGCTGATGATGGGGTCCCTCAGGGGCCTTGCTGGGGTCAGTGTTGGGCACAGGTGTCTTCTAAAGGAGTGAGGAGGCCCCAGGTGCCTAGCGAAGGCAAGCTTGGTTCTCTTCTGGAGCCCAGGACAGCCCTGCCTAGGGTGTGCTATGAGAGGGGGCACTTTTCCCAGCTTCTGCCCACGACGGCCAGCTGGGAGGGAAGGCACTGTACATTTGAGGTCCTCCAGCTGAGCCAAACTCACTGGCCCTAGGAAGTGAACCGGTACAAGGGCAAGAACTACCCCATCATGAACCTGCATGAGCGGACGCTCAGTGTGCTGGCTTGCCGGGTAAGTGAGCTGGGAGTCAGGCAGCTGGGTCTGATTGATACAGTTTCTTTCCCCTACTGAGGAGTCTGGGGGTACCCCTTGCCTGCTGGCCCCAGCCGTGCCGCCCCACCCCCGCTGGCTCCCCTGGGCCTCTTCTGCCACCTGCTAGCCCTGGTTCTCCAGGGCTGAGGACTGAGTGAGTTGCTTCCCTGGCTGTTTCTGCAGTATGTTTCAGAAGTGGTGATCGGGGCACCATACTCCGTCACAGCAGAGCTCCTGAGTCACTTCAAGGTGAGGCTTCGCTTGGAGTTCTCTTGAGCAGAACATGATGCCAATGTTCCTAGAGGCTCTTGCCTGTTTTCTTGGGTCTGGGCTAGCCCTAAGTGGTTGCCAGTGGTGGCATAGTGTCTCTGAGGAAGTCTCCTGACCCTGTTCCCTTTCCAGGTGGACCTGGTGTGTCATGGGAAGACAGAAATTGTACCTGACAGGGATGGGTCTGACCCCTACCAGGTGGGTTGTCCCGGCCTGGGCTGCCTCTGGGAAGCAGGTGCAATCATCCTTGCTGGTATTGGTCTCCCATGGGTGGAAGGGCACCTGGGGGTGTCTTTGTGATCAAGAGACCTCTCATCTCTCACTTTTCTTCCCATTGAGCCCTCCAGGAGCCCAAGAGAAGAGGCATCTTCTGTCAGATTGACAGTGGCAGTGACCTCACCACAGACCTGATTGTGCAAAGGATCATCAAAAACAGGTGTGTCCCCTCCCTCTTCCCTCCCCCTCCCCGGGTTGGCAGTGAGCCAACCCTGTATTGGAGAGAACCAGCTTATTTCTGTCTGGCCTCAGGTTGGAATATGAAGCACGGAATCAGAAGAAGGAAGCCAAGGAATTAGCCTTTCTGGAGGCCATGAGGCAACAGGAGACACCGCCTGGAGGGGAGACTGACTAGCTTCTGACCGACCCGGAGATGTCACTCACACCCTTGCCCTGTGCCCACCTCCTCCCTCCCTGCCCTGCTCTGCTTCTGTGTCTTGGTGTCAGCTCACACAATTCCAAAGGAAACCGGCCTTGCTGAGGGTGCTGTTCCTGCCTGCCTGTGAGGCGCCCACCTTGCAGCAGGCTCTCAGTCCCTTCCACTGAGCTGTCAGAGAGGGTAGCGAGGCAGCCCCATGGACAGGATAAGCAGACACACCTGGGACTGGAGGAGTGTCGCTGTGTATCCTTGGCATCCCCGGGTTCCAACTGCCACTGCCCCTGGCCTGGCTGGGGACACCCCTCCTGCCTGACTGGAAGCTGCTCCTCTGCCCACGGAGCTTTGGTGAAAGGTCCAGAGGCGACCTCTGTTCCTGGGTCACCTTGCACGCGGGCACCTTCTACCTTGGGGCACGTTCTAGCACCCCATTTCTGACTCCTAGAAGGTGCACTTGCCCTAATGGCTGGGCCAGCATGGCTGTCCTCCGCACAGACTTCCTGGTCCTTGTTTTGTACCTCAGTGGCTGATGTAAACCTCTTTGGCTCAACTGAATAAAGCCTGGTGGGAAGTGCTCTGTGGGCTCCTAACCCTGGGAAGGAGCAGGAAACCCATCCACATCCACGGCAAGAGCGCTCTCAGAAAAGGGAGGGAGAGTGGGGTCAGGAGGCTGGGAGCTTGTGCACCTGCCCCTGCCTCTCCCATAGACTACGGGATCTAGATCTGGGCACCCTGGCAGGTGAACTCAGAGCCCAGCAGTTGCTGAGGCCCCTCTAGCTGCCTCTTGGTGGTTGGTTGTGGGGAGACTAGCTCAGCGATGAAGCAACTGACAGGAATGGTGAAGCCAGGGATACCCCTAAACACGGATTCTGGTGGGACTCTCCAACCCGGTGCCCAGTCAGCTCCTGAAGCTGATAGACCTGCCCGGGCTCCTCCCTTTGAGGCAGGAGACCTCTGTGAATGTTTCAGACCTAGAGTCAGGATCTGGAGAAGGGCCACACATACCTCCAGCCTGGACAGTCCTGGGCATCTTTTCCTTACCTCGGCCCTGCTGCCTGCTAGGTATGGGTAGTGCCCACACTAGGATCCCAGGGCTGTGAAACACGGAACAGTCTCGGGTCAAGGAAGCCATCTGAGTATGCTGCTGCCTGGACCCAGGGGCTGGTCCCCAAGGTGACACTGCACAGGCAGCCATGGTCTTATGGCACCCTGGGTGGGGCGTGGCTGATGAGGGCACCACAGAGAGGATGCCCTCAACAGCAGTCTTGGTGCTCAGACCAGAGCTTGGGTACTTGAGGTGGCACCTGCTTCACCCGTGTCTGCCTTGGGCTAGAGGGAAAGCAAGGCAAAAGCGAAATGGCTGCCCACTTGGCTCTGTGACCCAGAACATGTGAGGAGCACACCAGGCGGGCCACCGAGCCCTGCCGTCCCTCTGGAAGGCGCCCAGGCCAAGCGTCTCCCTGACGCTGTGGGTGGATCTAAGGACTCCCGTGCAGTTCTGCCTTTGCTCTGGATCTGCACACCAGTTGTCCTCTGTGGTTTGTTGCACACACAGTAGCTGTGTGCATAGTCCTTCAAGGCCTATGGGAGGGGCTTCGCCTGGGATGAGGCAGGATATAGAGCAGGGCTTTCTAAAAGAACCTATGCGCTCGGACCGACACGGGTGGCTCTGAAAGACTGAGGGGCAGGATGGTACTGCCTGAGGATCCTCTGGGGGTTATTTTAAATGGCCTGCTACTATCTACGCCCCGTGCCTATTGCTTAAGAAGGGAGTCACCTGTTCGGACTCTGGAGTAGGGGTGTGGGCTCTATCCCCTTTCTGGCTTTGTAGAAGAGGGAAAGACCCAACCAGGGCACAGAAGGGAAATCAAGCAATCATCACCCAGGGACCCACTCAGCCAGGCACCCGCTCGCAGGAGCGCTTGTCAGTGTCCAGAGACAGTTTTGCGTCTTTATTCGTTTAGTCATTTGCTGTGGAGCATGGTGGGAATTAGGGGCCACAGGAGCCAAACCACGCAGGGCCTGTGCTACTTCAAGGAAGACTGGGCATGGGTGGTGGAGGGAGAGAGTCACCGGCCGCAGCGTCTAGGTTTGAGTTGGGGTTCAGGCGCTCGGGCACTCAGCCTTGTGCAGCGACAAGAAGACGTCCGCCTTACACTGGAAAGTCCCTCGGCTGTTGAGTTGCCGCTGGCAGCTCTGCAGGTTCGGGGTCACATCTTTGACACACAGGGCCTGGGTAGGAGGTGGAGGCTGAGGGCCCGCCCCTGTCCCACCAGCTCCCGCCACCCACCCACCTGCTCGCACTCACCAGGCTCCTTACGCTGGCGCGGATCTCCAAGTTGCGCAGAGGTCCGGTTCCCACCCGGAGTGCTGGGGACTCGGAGCGTCGCGTGGACGGGAACCTGTGGAAACTTGACAATAGCCCCGCGGCGCGACCCACCGAGTAGGGGTGGGATCCCGCCGCAGGCTTGTACCACGCAAGGGCTGACGGCAGGAGCAGCGCCAGGGCGGCGGCCACCAGCGTCCTACACCGGGCCATGGAGCAGTGCGGCAGGGGCAGGCAGAAGGTGGCGGCAGAAGTATGCGAACCAGCCTGGGCTTTATATTTACAATGGGGGCGGGGACAGAGGCAGGGAGGGGGACGAGGAGTGGGCGACAGGAAGGAGTGGAGCACAGGCTGCGAGTGGAAAATCAGTGGGATCTCACACCCTGCGAGTCCTGAGTACTCATCTCAGATGGAGCAGAGAGGACTGGTTTCTCCCTTCCTCAAGTGTAACTGTCCTTTTATTGACCATCCAAGGGTGGAATGTGGAACTGTCTTAGTTAGAGTACTATTACCGTGATGAAACACCATGATCAAAAGTGACTTGGAGAGGAAAGGTTTATTTGGTTTACACATCCTGCGTCACAGTCTGCTGTAGAAAGCCAAGGCAGGAACTGAGATGGAACATGGAGGCAGCTGATGCAGGGGTCACGGAGGAGTGCTGCTTACTCCCCATGGCTTCCTCAGCCTGCTTTCTTACAGAACCCAGGACCACCCAGGGATAGCACCACCCATAAAATCGGCTGGGCCTTCCCTTATCAATCACTAATTTTTTCCAAGCTGGAGAGGTGGCTCAGCAGTTAAAAGCGCTGCTCTTCCCGAGGACTCAGGTTGGATTCCCAGCACCATATACAGGCAGCTCACAACTGCCTGTAACTCTAGTTCCAAGAGATCAGATGCCTTCTTCTGGCCTCTATAGGCACTGGGGAATGCATGTAGCGCACAGGCAAAACATCCACACATACAAAATATAAATTCTAAAAGAAGAATGAAAATGTCCTATAGGCCTGTCTACAGCCTGGTCTTACAGAGGGATTTTCTCAACTGAGGATTCTTCCTCTCAGATGACTCTGGATTATGTCAAGTTAACATAAAACCAGTCGGCACAGGGACCACCTTGCTTATTCTTTGGTTCTGTCCCAGGCTCACCAATAGGGTCTCACTCTCTAACTCAGATTGGCCTTGAGTTTGGAAAGAATACCTCACCTTCCCAGGTGCTAGATTGGGGTTATTTTTGTTTCATGCTAATGGTCGAAGATTCTGCTACTGGACTTGTCTTTTCTAAGAAAAAGTGTTGAGCTCGGGCTCCAACCTTCAGAAAAACCTGGGCAAGCAACTCCAGACCCCAGGAGCAAGCAACTGCCATGCCCACTCTATACCAGGGGGTCGTGGTCTAGGAACCTTCTCTGCCTGTACTTAGCAAACAGTGGTTCAAATACTGGACACAAGAGGGTAACATGTAAGAGACACGTGGTGTGTGCAGGAGCCAGAACATGAATACGACAGTCTCTGGCCATGCAGGGCAGCACAGGTGGATTAGAAACAGGGCACGGAGAAAGCCTCCCAAGAGGTCAATGGTGTAAGCTTCCTACAGGGCCTTCTGTTCCTGCCTGGGAAAGGGGCTCAGGGCAAGCACAAGCTGTAGTGCTGGGTGTATCAGGTGTTCTGACTTGTTTGGAGGAAGCTGCTGGAAGAACAATGGAGAAGGAAGGGGAGGAGCCAGGAACTCCATACCCAGGGTGGCCGGCCATCTGTCCAAGGTTAGATGTGGCTTTCTGACCTCTAGAGATCGGAGATGGGAGATTGGAGATGGAGTTAACCCCGAGGATAGGAGCTGCTGACACTGTGAGACAACACATCTCAAAGAACCTAGGTGGTAAGCAACGTGTGTGGCCATGAAGGACTCCAAGGTGAGCCCCAAAACAGAAGGACCTCAGGAGGACTTCCTGCCACACAGGAAGTTGCTTCAGAGAGGATGGCCCGGAATGAAGTCCCCATAGAAGGTTCCTAGAAAAGGCATGGAGGACACTCCAAGAGCATGAGCAGACTGGAGATGGAAGAGAGAAGCTAACAAGCTAGGACAGACCACACCTGTCAGCCCAAGTAGCTCCAAATCCACAAGTCTCAGCTCCCCTCTGCAGCTCTTGGGGATCCTCAGGCTGAGTTACACCACATCTCTACCCTTGAAATGGCCCCTTCACTCCTGATAGCTGGGGTCAGTTCCAGGACTAGCATGCTGTAGATAGCCGAGTGATATGAAGTTATAGTCTCCCAGAAGCACAGGTTGGCTGCACGTAGGAGTACCTCAAGGACACCACGCGGAGTGAGCAGCAAGTCTCACAGCCGACAATCATGTAGATGATACAGATTGCTTGGAACCGACCCTCCCCCCACTCACACCCCCCCCCCAGGGAATAAAGGAGTTTCAAATGGCTGTCCTTCCCTAAGACAGGAGAGGACCCACATCCTCATATACTAGAGCCACCTTCAGTCTGACCAGGCAAGAGAATGACCAGCTTGCTGCAGTTGTCCCCGAAGATTATCTGGGCATGACCAGTGCCTGCTTAGCCATCTCTTCCTGACCAGAATGGCTCTGGAAGAGCAGCTGCCAGCATTGCTCAGCTAGGGCTGGGGATGGGAAGAGATCCTGGGACTCCCAGCAGACTAGGGTAGCAGATGGGCTCTGTGCACCTTGCCAGTTCCCTCGACACAAACACGCCCTAAGGTCTTTGCCTAGCTTGGCTCTGCCCCAGTCTCTTCTACTCCTGTCTGAGTTGTGACTCAGATTATGAGGAAGGTCTTGGCTTTATTTCATCAAGCTGTTTATTTATGAGTGTTCTCAAAGCAAAACATGGTACAGGTGCATCAATATGTCAAGAAAACAGGCAAGCAGAGGCCTCCAGCACGGCTTGGAACTTTAATGAGTTTTATTTATCGAATAAAAGTGTCAATGTGATGGGAAAACAAAACGACCAGCAAAGTCCTCGTTTCAACCTTGTGTCAGCCAAACGGAAAGCATCCTGTCCCCAGCACAGAACGAGGTCCCAGGGCACCACTGTGCTGTGTGGAAGGGACTCGGGAGGGGAGGGGAGGGCGGGGCTGAGCACAGGCCTCACTCTTTGAACTTCCACTCCTGGCGACACATGGGGCAGTGCTGCTGCACCTGTTGCGCGTTCAGCCACTTGAGGATGCAGTGCATATGGAAACAGTGCGAGCACTGACCCCACACGAGGGGACAGTCATCACCAGGCACCTTACCTGCAAGGAGGAGAGACAGGCCTAGGTGAAGAAGCAGACAAGACACACAGAGCTTGTGACAAGGCAGGCAGACACCTCTGGGACATAAGTAAACAGCTCTAGTCCATGGGCAGAGAGCCTCTCATGCCTCTTACATCAGAGAAGACAAAAAGTAAGGGTGTGACCCAAATCATCCCCAGACATTCCCCATGGCATAAAAGATCTGCAGTGACTCCCTCTATGGCAAGTGAAGTGTCTGTCCTCAAAGGGGAGGCCCAGCCTGGCCCACTAGTTTCTGGTACCTTTCTCACACCTTTCTGTGGAAAATGGACCTGTAATACCCAGAAGGTAACATTAATGGTCAAAGTGCCAAAGGTTCACAACCAAAGTGGAGACTCTGTCTTCATTACAGGCATCCTGGAACCTGGAAAGTTCCTTCCCTGCACATCAGAGATCTACTGCACTATGGACCCTTGGGGACACTGGTGCTTCTGGGACAGTTACTAATGGGACTGATCAGCACCTGTTACTTTCTCTTCTTCACCTGAACCTTCAACTCCTACTTCCATCCAGAGCCAGGGGGCACAGGCTGCAGGCACTTTGCAGGCCTGGAAATGTTTCCTCCATGGAGAAAGTCCAGGTTATCATAATCAAACATAATCAAAACCAACAGGGGCTGCAGAGCTAATAGTTAAGAACACTCGGTGGTCTTGCCCAGGACCCAGGGTTCAGTTCCAGCTTCCACATGACAGCCCACAGCCAGCTGTACGTACTCCAATTTCAGCACATCTGACGCCCTCTTCTGGTTCCCCCAGACACTGCATCCATGTGGTAAATACAGACATACACTCAGACAAAACATGGAGGAGGGGTACAAGGAATGCAGCTCCACTGAGAGAATGTCAAAGCCCTGCATTCTACTCCCAGCCTTGCATAAGGGAAGAATCCCAGCACTCTGGAAGGGAGGTGGAGGCAAGAGGATCAGGAACCCAAAGCCATACTCAGCTACAGGAGGATTCTGAAGCCCATCTAGGATACATGAGAAATGAGAGCCTGTTTTAAAACAAACACACACTCCTGACTTCCATGGCCTAGAAAACCCTACTGAAGAAAGTAGAGCACAGAACATCTGCCCCACATCAGTATTGGCCTCACTGCACTCCATCCACCCTGGGGGCACAAGCCCTGTATCTGTCCTACCTGTGTCTACCAAGCCCCCCTCTTTCTTTTTCTTGTTCTTCCTTTTCTCCTTCTTTTCCTTCCTTTCTTGTTTGTTTGTTTTTAGGACAGGGTTTCTCTGTGTATCCCTGACTGTCCTGGAACTCACTCTAGGCCAGGTGTTGAACTCAGAGACCCACCAGCCTCTGCCTCCCAAATGCAGGGATTAGTGCCATCACTGGTGGATCCTAACTTCAGCAAAACTCTGCTTGAAATCACCCTCTTCCAATTAGATTTGGACCCCACTAGCTCACCAACAGGGGTTACTGAGCTGGCCCATGTGGGTAGTCATGTATAAGAAGATACTATCTTGTTCTCAAGATGTCCCTGCAGGCAGCAAGCTGGAGTCCTCGATGAGTACCCTGGTGCACTGAGGGTGATTCATTCAAGGACTTGCTAGTGCCTTGATGGAATTATTTTTTAGTTAAAAACCTCTTGACAAGACTGTTGTACCCTAAAGCCTCCTGAGTCCTGGAACAGATTTATTATGGTTTTAGTAACTTAATTTTCACAAGATTTAATCTGTGAGAAATCTGGTGCTATAGAATGCATCCAGAAAACCCACTTGCCCTGTCAAACACTGTCATATTAAAATTGACTCCTTCTCATTTAAACACATCCATGAGTTGGATGGACTAAGTTTCTTACTCTGCACAGCTAAGGAGCTGTGTGTTAAGAAGGCCCGAGTCTTCTTCACACACGAGACACTATGTGCGTAGCCACCTAAGATGCTTTTTGGATATCCACCTCTTTTGTCGCAGACCTAGCTGTGTTCTGTAGCCCATGGATGACATCACTTATGGTCAGGTAGGAATGGTTCCCCCTGGGATCAGCACAGCCACCTCCATTCTATGGACTCCATGTCCAAAGTTAACAGCCTAGTGAGTCTCACTGAAGTGACAAGCATGTGTCCTCTGCCTCCTAAACTCTTTGAGGCTCACTTTTTGTTTATTTGTTTGTTTGGTTTTGTTGTTGTTGTTTTTTTTGTTTTGTTTTTGTTTTTCGAAACAGGGTTTCTCTGTGTAACCCTGGCTGTCCTGGAACTCACTCTGTAGACCAGGCTGGCCTCGAACTCAGAAATCTGCCTGCCTCTGCCTCCCAGGTGCTGGGATTAAAGGCGTGAGCCACCACTGCCTGGCTATTTGTTTTGTTTTTTGTTTTTTTTTGAGACAGGGTCGCAGTATGTAGCCCTGGCTTTCTTTGTGGTAAGAGTTATCAAATCTCAGGTAATCGGGTCCTTTTAATAACGACGGCTACTCCACAGCATGGAAAGCTGGGATAGAAGGTCCAACAGCAGGTCAGCAAAACAAATGAAACATTTCTCACACATTTCTAGGCCCAGATGAGGGATCTCTGAGCTCAAGAGATTAGTGAAGGCACTATGGCTGATCCCCACTTTGGAAGCAGCATCCATGACATAAGAGAAACAAAACATCCTTGCCTGAGTTAGGGTTTACTGCTGTGAACAGACACCATGACCTAGGCAACTCTTTTTTTTTTTTTTGGTTTTTCGAGACAGGGTTTCTCTGTGTAGCCCGGGCTGTCCTGGAACTCACTCTGTAGACCAGCCTGGGACCTAGGCAACTCTTATAAGGACAACATTTAATTGAGGCTGGCTTACAGGTTCAGAGGTTCAGTCCATTATCATCAAGGTGGGAGCATGGCAGCGCCCAGGCAGGCATGGTACAGGAGGAGCTGAGAGTCCTGCATCTTCATCTGAAGACTGCTAACAGAATACTGACTTCCAGGCAGCTAGGATGAGGGTATCAAAGCCCATGCCCACAGTGACACACCTACTCCAACAAGGCCACACCTCCAAATAGTGCTGTTCCCTGGACTAAGCATATACAAACCATCACATTCCACTCCCTGAGCCCCATAGGCCTGTTCAAACACTGAGTCTATGGGGGCCATATCTAGCCATAGCATATTTAAAAAAGTATATTTAGTCCCATTTCCAAAGTCTCCATAGTCTATAGCAATCTCAACAATGTTAAAAGTTCAAAGTTCAAGTTCAAAGTCTCTTCTGAGATTCATCCAATCACTTAAATGTCATCTCCAAAGCAAGACAGGAAACCAGCTGGGCAAACTCTAAACTGTATCTCCATGTCTGATGTCAAAGCAGTCTTCAGATCTCCAGCTCCTTTTTCATCTTTGTTGACTCCTAACTAACTTCTTTCTACAGGGCTGGTTCCACTCCCTGTTAGCAGCTTTCCTCAGCAGATAGCCCACAGCTTTGGCATCTCTTACATCCTGGGGTCTCCAAGGCAACTTCAATGTTACAACTTCTTGTTCCAATGTCTGGGATCCACACATGATCTTCTGGGCTCCTCCCAAGGGCTGGCATCACTTCTCAGCTCTGCCCTGTGTAGCACTCTAAGCTCGGGTTGATCCATTCCACTGCCGCTGCTGTTCTTGGTGGTCACACCATGGTACTGACATCTCTAATACACTGGGTCTTCCGCTGCAACTAGACTTCACCAATAGCCTCTCATAGGCTCTCTTCATGGTGTCAAGCCTCAACTCCTTTGCATGACCTCCTTCTGTCCTAGGCCATCAACTGCAACTGAGGCTGAACCTTTACCAACAGCCTTCCATGGCCTCTCACAGTGCCAAGCCTCGGCTGTTCTTCAACTCAGAGATCTGATTGGCTTTACCTCCTGGAATTAAAGATATGCACCACCATGCCTGAATCTAAACTTATCTGGGTGGGATCTTGCCCAAAGTTCACTACTCCCTTAATTCAATTTAATATCCTTGAACATAGGATTTAGCTCTATTCTACTTCCTGGTGTGCCTTTAATACCTGAACCATATATTTTGTATTTTTCCTTTCTCAAGTTGCTTCTTTTCACTAACGTGTTTGTATAAGGGTAACCTGTAGTCATCACACAGCAGAATTTACACCAGGCTGTTTTAAGACTTCCTTTGTCAAAGCAATTAACCTAAATCTTTTCACCTTAGTCTCAGGCAGACTCTTCAGACAAGTGCAAAAAGCAGCCACATTCTTCACCAAAATATCACAAAAACAATCTCTAGGCCAAATACTGAAATTCTTCTCCACTGAAACCTCTTGGGTCAGGTCAGCACAATCCAAATCACTCACAGCAACAAAGTCTTCCATATTCCCACTATGACAGCCCATTAAGTCCCATTTAAAGCACTCCAATGTATTCTAAATCCAAAGTCCCAAAATCCAAATTCTTCAAAACAAAAACATAGTCAGGCCAATCACAGTAATATCCTAGTTCCTGGTACCAACTTCTGCCTTAGTTAGGGTTTTACAGCTGTGATCAGACACCATGACCAAGGCAACTCTTACAAGGACAACATTTAATTGAACCTGGCTTACAGGCTCATAGGCTCAGTCCATTATCATCAAAGTGGGAGCACAGCAGCATCCAGGCAGGCATGATGCAGGAGGAGCTGAGAGTTCTACACCTTCATCTGAAGGCTGCTAGCAGAATACTGACTTCCAGGTGGCTAGGATGAAGGTCTTAAAGCCCTCACCCACAGTGACACACCTCAACAAGGCCACACCTCTAAATAGTGCCACTCCCTGGGCCAAGCATATTCAAACCATGAGAATTCTTAAGGATGATTTTGTTAGTGATCTTGGGTTTTGTTTTTTTTTTTTTTTTTAAGGGATACGTGTCTCACTATGTAGCCCTAGCTGGAACAGAACTTACTACATAGTCCAGGCATGAGGATACCTTTAATTCCAGCACTTAGAAACTAGAGGCAGACAGATCTCCGAGTTCAAGGCCAGCCTGGTCTACAGAGTAAAATTCAAGGACAGCCAGGGCTACACAAGAGAGACCCTGTCTCAGAAAAAAAAAAAAAAAAAACAACAAAGATAGCATCTAGATTTTTCTCAAAATAATGAAAACTCTACATGTGTGTGTAGTTCCTAATCACAAGTGATGCAGATAAAACTTAAACCAGAAAAATCAAAGATTTAAGAAACTCACATCTCTTTGACTACATCAAGATGATTAACTCTTGGCTGATCAGGATGATTAATTCTTGGCTGATCAAGATGATTAACTCTTGGCTGATCAAATTTAGTTTCAAGCCAGGCAGGTAGTACTGTATAGCCAGACATTTTGCTACTTTGTAGGTTTTTCTTTCTTCCAGCCTTTCAACCCCCTAACTCTAGGTAGGAGGAATAAAGGTTAGAGGGTAAGGGAGTGTTGTGTGGTTATACTGTCCCTGTTGATGGGGCATTGAGTTCCTTGGGGCAAGTTTGGTCTTCAGAGTCCAGATATTTAATCTTTTCTTCTAATCCTTGTTTCTTCTTTATGCTAGACTACTTGACAAACGGCAACAAACTGAACTGGCCCGTATCCAGGCCCATTTATACATCCTTTGAAAAATCCCTCAGAAACTATCTACTGCGTAGAAGCCTCAGAGGCAGCCCCATATTCCACACTTGGAATTAAAACAAAAACACATTCTTATAACATTTCTGTGGGTTTTTTGTTTGTTTGTTCGTTTTTGTTTTTTCGAGATAGGGTTTCTCTGTATAGCCCTGGATGTCCCGGAACTCACTCTGTAGACCAGGCTGGCCTCCAAACTCAGAAATCCGCCTGCCTCTGCCTCCCAAGTACTGGGATTAAAGGCGTGTGCCACCACTGCCTGGCCAAATTTCTGTGGTTTTAAAGAAAGCAAAATTCTCACTGCAGCGCTCACCCTTAGTCCCAGAGCTCAGGAGCCAAAAGCAGGAAGATCTGTGTGACTTTGAGACTGACCTGGTTTACACAGGGAGTTTCAGATTAGCCAGGGCTATAGGAGATCCTGTCTCAAAAGATAAATGTGTTTGATTAAATCTCAATGTAATCGGGGCTGGTGAGATGGCTCAGTGGTTAAGAGCACTGACTGCTCTTCCAGAGGTCATGAGTTCAAATCCCAGCAACCACATGGTGGCTCACAACCATCTGTAATGATATCTGATACCCTGTTGTGGGGTGTCTGAAGACAGCTACAGTGTACTTACATATAATAAATAAATTTAAAAAAAAAAATCTCAATGTAATCAAACATTTCTACTTCATATGACATACCAGGAACATAGAAGTCATGCAAACAGAAAAGTGTAAGACCTTTTGCATCCTCCAAAACACATTAAGATCATAAAACTCAAGCACCTCCAACATAGAAGTAGAGAAAGAAGAGGCTATTTAGATCAAAGAGGATGAAAGACCAAGAACATTGAGGTGCTGAGTGTGGTCCAAACCCTAGTAATAAGACATTAGGGAACAGATGTTGGAACCAGGATGCTATAGCAGTAAGACATGGCTGAAGTGTATAGCTTACAAGCATCTATTTAAAGCTTACAATTCTTAAGCACAAAAGCCCAGCAAACATGACAATATGGTAACCATTGTCTGAACTTCAATTTGCTGGGCAGGGGTATCCTAATTTGATCTTCTTTACTTTGAGAAAATACAAAATGAAAGTACTATTCTGAGGAGTTAAAGGAATGACAGAGCATCACTATGTAGCCTAGGCAGACTTTAACTTCAAGATCCTCTTGCATCTGTCTCCTAAGTGGCATTATGGTCTGTGCCACCAAGCCCTGGCTAAAACAAGTGTGTTTGTTTGACTGACTATTTTTGCAACCGAGTCTCACTGTGTAGCCATGACTGGCCTCTAACTCAGAGATCCAGCTCTCTCTGTCTCTGCCTCTCAGATACTGATATTACAGGTGTTTGTCACCATGCTGGATGGAGTGTTTAAACAAACGTCTGCTTCTTTTCTGTCAACTTTCCTTCAGGAACTGAAAGCTAAAACCTACGGTTTTGTTTTTCCTGGCCTTTTATCAAGACTGGGTTTTTCTTTGTAGCCCTGACTATCCTGGAACCTGCACTGTTCACCAGGCTGAACACAAACTCAGAGATCCTCCGGTCTCTACCTCCGGAGTGCTGAGAAACCCAGGGTTTTGAAGGCTAGTGGAACAGGGCAAAGTTCTGAGAACACAGAGGGAGACACTTACAGTCTGGACAGCAGCCATTAAACGCCATCCTGCAGATGCCGCAGTTCTCATCATTGGCTACCCAAAGCCAAGTAGCCACACCATTCCAACACTTAATTTTCACCTTCATGACAGCAGAGCCCGAGACCTGAGGGGAGAGGCTAAAGTTAGTATATAATACTACAGCATCTGAGCATTAAAGTCACAGAGTTGCGACAAGTGCTGTACTCCGAAGAACACAATCTTCCAAGAATTTCTTACGACCCGTCAAAAAGATGGCAAGGAGAGCCGGTTGGAAGCAATGGCACGCTTCCGAGTTTTTGTCACGTTTAAGGATGTCTTTAAAGATCTGCATTCACGTTGCCAGGCACGGTGGCACACGTCTTGAATCAGGGGGCAGAAGCAGATCTCATTGAGTTGGAGATCAGCCAAACAGGAAACAAAAACAAATAAACAAAACATCTGCACTCGATGCAAAACATAACGGTTTTCACCAACCAGGGCCTCGCCTTTAAAGATATGGGAAGGGTGACAGTCACTAATCCGCGAAGTTACAGCTGGAACGCGGACGCCAGCTCGATAGGAGACTGAGCCTTGTAGCAAACAGAACCAAAATCGGACCCCGAGGCAGGCCCGGAACTTCCAGGATCGCACCTGAGGGACGCGAGACCCGGGGCGCGCACACTGCGTGGCACCCGTGCGAAGCGGAGGGTCTTCCGGCCTCCGGGGGAGGAGCAAAGCAGGCCCCGCCCCCTCCTCGCCCTCGCACCTTCTCTACCTAATCACGAAGCGCCCCGCCCTTCCGTTGCTTCCGCGCGGGAAGGTATAAAAACGACCGTGCCGCGTCTGGCTCCTCAGAAGTAGCGCCAGCCGTCCGACTGAGCGGTACGCAGGAGCTCTTCCGGACCGCGCGAGCCGAGACCAATCAGTAGGCGCGTCAGACTCGGGACGCCGGAACGCAGAGGGGGACGCAGGAAGTGACGCTGCGGCGTGCTGACGCGCGGGCTCGATCCGAGGCCCGAATCCGCGCCCGCCATGGCCGACAAAATGGACATGTCTTTGGACGACATCATTAAGCTGAACCGGAGCCAGCGAGGAGGCCGCGGCGGGGGCCGGGGTCGCGGCAGAGCCGGCTCCCAGGGAGGTCGCGGCGGCGCAGTGCAGGCCGCCGCGAGGGTGAATCGAGGCGGCGGGCCTATGAGGAACCGGCCCGCCATCGCCCGCGGCGCCGCAAGCGGCGGCGGCAGGAACCGGCCGGCACCCTACAGCAGAGTGAGTACGGGGAACATGCGGCACGGGCCGGGGGTGGGGTGCGCCCGGCAGGACGGAACCGGGCGAGGGTCCTGCGGAGCTCGCGGGAACCGTGGCGAAGGGGTGGGCGGGGGCGAGGCCCGAGGCCGGGATCTTCCGGGACGCTTTGTCCGGTCGTGGTCCAGCCTCATGGCGGCGGGGGCCCGCTAGGAGGAAAGTTTGGCGGCCGCCGTGGAGCCGCGGGCCTGGGGTATCTTCCTGGCTCCTCGCCCTTGACCGCGGGCCGGCGTGAGAGTGTGTGGCTGAGGTGTTGAGGGGCTCCCCGGGCGAAGCTCACGAATCTCTCTGTCCTTACGGTTTCTCTTCAGCCGAAACAACTTCCCGACAAGTGGCAGCATGACCTATTCGACAGCGGCTTCGGGGGTGGAGCCGGCGTGGAGACGGGTGGGAAACTGCTTGTGTCAAACCTGGACTTCGGAGTGTCAGACGCAGATATTCAGGTAGGAAACTGGAGCTGTCCGCTATACTCACCCCACACAGACGTGTGGTCCAGAATCCCCTACTGTTTGGAACCTGCCCTCCCCCAGGCTGCCCAAGGGCCAGCCACTGTCACCCTGAGAGGCTTGGCCTCAGAAAAAGTAGTATCTCCCGGGTTTGAACACCACCAATAATAAGCCAGGCTGCAGGAAGATAAAACAGTGTGTCCTTAAAAAACGAGTCTTGTCTTCCAAACTATGAGCACCTGCCCCTCAGCCAGAACTTCCAGTTTCTAACCGGCACAGACTGGCCACAACTAAGGTTCTACTAGTATGACCACGAAGGTGCTTGCTTCTCAGATCTTGTGTCCATTGTAGTGAACTGACTTGAGAAGGGAGGTCTTCCCCCACATACTGTGAATAGATGGGGACTGTGTGTGTGTTTCCAGCCTGAATCCCTGTATCTTAAGTGGTGATCTTTCCTGGATCTTATCAAGGGGACAAGGTCTTCCATACTTTTGAAGTATTTTTTCCTCCCCCCAACCCCCCCACCTTGGGTTTTGATTTTTTACTGGACCTTAAAGGCATTTAAAGTTTTCTGGTTACAAGACAATTTTTGGGGAGTTAGTTTTCAATTTTGCTGGAGCTAGGTTGGGTGTACTGGGATTTTCTGGGTACCATTTCTCAGAGCCCAGCCATTCGGCCTTGCCATGAGAGGAAAGAACAAGGCCAGTGAGCACTCTCAGTGTCTCAACACTTCTTTTAAGGTGGTTTCTGGCATCCACTGGAAACCACTTTTGACGAACTCCACTTCCCACTGTGTGCCTGCAGCTGAAGTGGGTTCCCTCTCCAACTCCCAGCCTGCCTGAGGTCAGGGCAGGTTCCGTGGTGCGTTTGACTTCAGACTTTGCAGCAGGCTTGAGTAGGAGGAGAGGGAAAGGTGAGCTAGAATCTGCCTTTGGGATAGGGGCTGGGTCACAGCTTCCCAAATTACTGGGCCCTTTGAGTTGTCTGCTCTGTGGACAGTTTTACACTTGGCCTCTGCTGTTTGGTGAAACAGCCATTAGGCAATTTTTAAGTATCCTTGATGAGAGAGATAGTTTCTTAATCTTTAGTTAGTCCAGTGACAGGGCTTTGTGTCTTCCCTCACCTACATCATGGTATAGTACACAGTCCCAAAACAGACAGGAAACCAAGTATTCATGAAAATTGGTGTTTCTCTTGATAGAACATCCCTTGCATTAGCTCTTAATTGCCACTGCCTTTCTCCCTTTGGGTGGCTGTCAGTAAAGTAGTACCTCTAAAGCTCTAGTACTCAGAGCAGCTGTTGGTGAGCTACTAGAAAGAAAACGGTGTAATTACTCTGCTAATTTTTACTCTTTCCCCTTCCCAGGAACTCTTTGCCGAATTTGGAACGTTGAAAAAAGCCGCTGTGCACTATGATCGCTCTGGACGAAGTTTAGGCACAGCAGATGTGCACTTTGAACGGAAAGCAGATGCCCTGAAGGCTATGAAACAGTACAATGGTGTCCCTTTGGATGGTGAGTCTGGGACTGGGCCCTGGATGCCTGTGGGGCTTGTGGAGTTTGGGGCTGGCACCTCTCCCTGTAGGAATATGGGCTGCCCCTGTGGCTGAGGACACTTTGCATTTGCCCCTTTGTCTCTCTCTTCCATTCTGCCACCTCTCATGCTGTCCCACACATCTGGACCAACCTCTTGTGAACCCCCATCCAGCAAGCTACATCCCTCCCCTCCTTGAGCTCCTTCCGGAAGATTCACTTCTGTGAAGCCTTCTCAGAACCGCCATAGTACAACCTGAGTGCGGGGCTGTAGTCGTAAAGACAAAGGTACCTGTTCTTCTTCCGTCAGGTCACCCACACCTATCCGCCCATGAGCACCCTGAGCACCTGGCCAAACAGCCCTCCTAGGCTGAACTGAGAAGGAGTGAGGAGGTGTTGGTGGGGGTATTTTTTTTGAAGATTTATTTATTTTATATACATGAGTCCACTGTCACTGTCTTCAGACACACCAGAAGAGGGCAGCAGATCCCATTACAGATGGTTGTGAGCCACCATATGGTTGCTGGGAATTGAACTCAGGACCTTTGAAAGAGCAGTCAGAGCTCTTAGCTGCTGAGCCATCTCTCCAGCCCTGTTGGTGGGGTTACTATTGCACTTTATTTTCCCCCCAGGCTCTCCATGCCATTTACCTTGTTGGGAGCATTGGAGACACACAGAGGCCCTTTCTAGAGCTTGCATGGAGACCAGGGTGTGGTGCCCACTGGGTCAGCTTCAGAGCCTCTGGAGTGAGACTTCTTGTATTCTTTACCATAGGCCGTCCTATGAACATCCAGCTTGTCACATCACAGATTGATACACAGCGAAGACCTGCACAAAGGTAAGTTCTGTGGTCCTTGGGGTTGGGGAAAGGCCTTTGGTTTGTGATAGTGCCACCTACAAGACCTTGCCAGATAGCTCACAGTTCTATTTTTCTTTGTTAGCATAAACAGAGGTGGAATGACAAGAAACCGTGGTTCTGGGGGTTTTGGCGGTGGTGGCACCAGGAGAGGGACACGTGGAGGCAGCCGAGGAAGAGGTAGAGGCACCGGCAGGAACTCAAAGCAGCAGCTTTCTGCAGAAGAATTGGACGCACAGCTGGATGCTTATAATGCCAGGGTAAGTTGAGTCTTTGGGCTCAGAGAGGACTGGGTGGAGCTGAGTGACCTATTGTGTTAACCTCTTAAAGCCAGTAGAGTTGGGGCCTTCTTAGTGAACCTTCCCCCTCTTCTTGCAGATGGACACCAGCTAAACATCCGAGCAAATCCGCACAAGTAACAGGACCCAGAAGCCTCGTCAGTGATGCCTAGAGGGAGGGTTGGCAACTGGACTGTGCAGACAATGGTGGATTTGGTTTTTGTTTCTTTTTATTTCTTTTTTTTTTCCTGTTTTAAAATAGGATCTAAAAACTCATGTAAAGGTTTTTTTTTTCTTTTTTTTCTTTTTTTTTAAATTCTGAAACAGACCTGTTTTTGTACTGAGTTATTTTTGGGATAAATTTTACTGGTTGCTGTTGTGGAGAAGGTGGCATTTTCACCTTTGCCATAATAAAATAGAAATGTGTGTAGAACTGGAGCTGTCTGGTCCATCCTGCTGTTAGTCTCTGTGGCTGTAGCTAGTACCTGGTATGAAATTGAGTTAGTGTCTTGGAGTCCGTCGGTGAGACCTGTCTCCTTCCCTGCTGTTCTGATGCCTCACTAACTGGATAGATAGGTGGAAAGCCTACAGAGCAGCAGTGGCCTTTGGGCTGGCACTATCTGTTTTGCCTGCACCATAAGGTGATGAGGGGTTTGGGGCGGTCTGCTGAGTGGTACCTAGAGATAGGGCCCATAAATTCCTGGACTGCTCCTTTGCCTTATGCTTCATCAGAGAAACCTGGTTTCAGCTTTGAACCTGTGATGTTTCCTTCGTGTTTTTCTGTCTTGTTATATTGACAAGGAAAAAAAGGTGCTTCCTTATTTGTGTACAGTCAGTCCTTGGGCGATGCTAGCTGGCAATACCAAAATCTGAGGATCCCCAAATTTTCATGTAAAGTGGCTAGAATCTATGCACATTCTCAAGATTTTTCAAAGTATGTTGTACTGTTTAGGGAGGGCAAGTGTCTAGCACATGTATAATCTTCATTTGGGATATTTTTGTTCTTGGTTGGCTGTGGAGACAGTTAGTTGTATAATAGCTAATGCAAGCTGAGGCAGAAACTGATTTCCAGGAAGGTTGGGGTTGAAGATGAAGTATTTTGGCTGCTCTAGTGGGTTGGAGGAGGTTTGAGGAGTGTGGCTGAGAAATGGAAGCTTGAAACTTGTCCTTAGTGTCTCAGTGCTGGGATACCTAGAGGATGGTGAACACGGTGAGGTGACAAGCCCCAGAAGCAAAGTACTAAGGACTGGACTGCTGGGACCTTTGCTTCAGTGTTCACGCAAGACCTGAGTCATACAGAATGGAGAACACATCTTGACTCTTAATGTATTTGTCCAAATGCATGTACATATATGTGAACAGAGTGAGTCGTAAGTGCTCCTGGAGAGCTATCCACCTTGTTTTTTTAGACAGGGCCTCACTAGGACGTGGACTCTTCAATTAGGCTAGTGTGCTGCTAGCATTGCAAATTCATGCCACCACACCTGGCTTTTTATGTCTTT